CTTAGTGGTAGTGGGAAATTTCGTCGCCACTTGACGCACCAAGGAAAATTACAAAAATATTGACTCTTTTCCAGCACTTTCTAACCCTAACAAGTTTAAGACCCTTCATCTTTAAGTTCAGTAGAGTACAATATAGCTAAAAGACACCAAACACCTAGTTTGTTCAGCTAGCATTGTGAGCTGCTATTTAATGCTGTATATCTATGTTTGTTTAATAGCACTTGTTATGGGTTTTACATCAAATTTAAGGAAAGAAGAGGTAAAGAAAGAACAAAGGTTTGAAGATAAGTGAATGGAGGTAAAGAGTGTAGCCGAGACGGCTCTGTGTCTCATTTGGTATTTGAAGGTGAGAAGTGATTGCATTATCCCAGGAAGAGCTTTTATCTGCTATCACCTCATGGCTTCTTCATTTCCTCAAGTGCATCTTGACTCCTGGCCAAAATAAAACTCACACCTTTACATACATTGTTCTGTGCCTATAAGTTTCTAGTTTAAATTCAAGTTTCAGATTCAAGACTTTTAGTTTCCCTCTTTGTGTCCATGTCAATACTAAATCTACTTAAACTACCGTTCAAAAGTTTGGGGTTGGTAGGACTTTTTTATGTTGTTGAAAGTCTCTTTTGTTCACCAAGGCTGCAGTTATTTGATCAAAAATATAGTAAAAACAGTTATATTGTGAAATATTATTACAAAATATATTAAAATAACTGTTTTCTATTTGAATATATTTTAAAATGTAAAGCTACGTTTTCAGCAGCTGTTACTCCAGTCTTTAGTGTCACATGATCCTTCAGAAATTCTTTTATTATTCTGATTTGGTGCTTTTTTGATATTCTTTTAGTCTTTTTTTATTCTTAATATTTTTGTGGAAACTGATACACTTTTTTCAGTATTCTTTGATTAATAGGAAGTTCAAAAGAATAGCTTTTTCACTTTTGATCAATTTAGGGCATGCTTGCCAAAAATAAAAAATAAAAATCTGACCCCAAACAATAATGTCATTATGCAAACCCATTTTATGTGACTGCATACAAATCAGTAAATGGACAACACAAGAAAACTCTTGATGTCATGACAAAAACATCAAGCAAAAACGTGCACATTGAATACACTGACAAAATGTGTTTAATTTCGTAATGTTTTGGTGTGCCAAACTGAATATTCCTGGAAATAATTATAAACTGTGCCTAAATGTTTATGGAATATTCCCACAAATGTATTATGGTAATGTGGTTATGTATTATCGGATAATTGTTGCATAACATAGTATTTCATAGTCATGTTTATTTGTATAGCGATTTTGACTGTCTCAAAGCAGCTTCACAAGAAGTTTTTTTTTTTTTGCTTTAGATTTGTTGCACATTTACTGCAATTTTTCTGCACATAAACTGTATTTGTGAAGGTAGTGCATTGTCGCTATTCAGCACACAGTGAATAAAAAGAAGAAACCGTGTACTTCAGCTGAGAGTAGGGAAAGAAATCCACCTATTGCCATAATTTTATCTCAGCATATCATTATTGAAAAGACCTCTAAAATCTGAAAAACTCCTGCCCTTATTAAGCAGCCCCTATGTTATCTCACCATTTGTACAATTGCTGAATCAATCCATTTCAAATGTCATTTTTAAAAACGTCTAACTTATGAGAATGTCATTAAGCCATTTATACTCTGAGAGTTTATTTGAGAAACCTCAAGCACTTTCACCAGAAATGTTCTTTGATGTATGTAACAGTACAGCAGTTAATAAATGAAGACACCACAAGCCTCTATTACACTTGAGCATAGTTCTAGTTTTATCAAAGCGATAAAATTTAGCCCATCATTCAAACTCACAGTTATTGGATTTTTAAAATTCCAGTCATATAAGTCATAGGCTGAGACTTCAGAGATTACAGTCAGCCAAATTAATCGGCACAAGTAGGCCTCGATGAGTCTAGAAGTTGTTGTTGTGACCTCTAAGTGTCATAAGTTGTATTTTTTTCTGTCTAGCTACAATCCTTATGTGATAAATCTTACACTATAGCCTCTCAAAATGTCAGATGGTTCATCAGCAAGTGGAATAGCAAGCAGGTGCTACCGCCTTTTAATGGCAGAGGCATATGTTGACGTTTTATCAATAGATATTATTAAATCTTTCTTGGGTGAGTTAATCTCAAGATGATGGTGCAGAGAGGTTGAGAGAGACAGGCTTTAACAGGCCTTCCTGAAAGGCAGGTCATAAGCTGCTTATTAAATCGACTCTGTCTTACACACACACACACACACACACACATTTTCTCACCCTCTCTCTAACCCTCTGTATTACTGCCATTCTTGCATGCACTGAACAAAAACATTAGCCGGGTCATCCTGCAAAACAGCACCACTGATGTCCTTCATGCACCTATGTGAAAAATAAGTTTAAGAATAGGAAAAGAATAGCTGATAAACTTTTACTTTGTTGTACCATAGATATTTTTTTAAATACAAAATGCCTTTTTGACAATCCAGTAATGCTATTTGATTTTTTTTCTTCCTTTTCTTTCATCATAATGATGTTTTTAACTCTTCCTTGCCATTTTATCCATAATTAGCACTTTTTGTTTAATAACTAAATGGAAATAAAAGCTAGCATTTTGATTTTCCCTCTCTATTATTATTATTGTTGTTGTTACTATTATTATTATTTTGCTTTTATTTTAGTTGATAATGATATTATGCATTATTAAAAAAAATTAAGTTATGTAAAGTTAGGTAGCACTTGAACTCTGTTACTGTTATATTTTTCCCTTTTTGCAGTAATAATCTAAAACAAAATCTGTCATAATGACATTAATATTCATCATTTTCCAGACGTGAATTCTTTCAGGACAATTTCAAGTCTCCTCTTTTTATCATTTTATCTTACATTCCCTACGTTTATGAGTAGGGGATACTGTTAAAATGTCAACCCTGTTACCTTTAACCTTGTGATAATTAAAAAGTGTATATTTGTGCAAATATTGATATTTAATTCTCCTAAGAAGTACCTTGTGTCATAATGCTGGGAATTAAAAGTTTACAGTCTTTTTGTAAGCATATTTAGATTATGACATTAAAATCTGTTAATTAAAGGTATAGATCACTAAAAATGAAACCTATAGAAACGTGGAACATAGATATTTTAATGCTGCAAATGGGTTTTTCTCCATACAATTGTATGTCAATGGTAAAAACATTCTTCCCAACATTCTACGAAATATTTTCTTTTGTGTTCCACCGAAGAAAATAAGTCTTACCTGTTTGGAATGACATGAGGGTGAGTAAGTGATGACAGAGTTGTTATTTTTGGATGAACTATCCCTTTAAACTTGAGCCACAATAAAATTTTTAATATTTAAACACAGTTTTTTGTCTGACAGAATGGTTAAAATGTTACAGAAAGGTACACGCATTTCCCAACACTTACACACCAAAAACACTGTTTTCTTTCTTCTTTCTTTTAAAACACTTCGCAAATTTATACATGAAGATATGTTGCAAACGAAAGTAAAGTTACACACACAAATCCAAACACATAAGAGCTCCCATGAAAGGCAGACAGCTCAGGGGCCTAAGTTTATTGAAATGACTATTTTCCTTAGCTGCATGTGTGTATGTGTGTGTCTGAGAGACAATAGCAGCTTTATGGCTCTTGCTGGAGCTAGCAGAAGGAGCAGAGGCTGACAGTGGGTGATAAGACCACCAGCCTGCTTCTTGTGATAATCATTCGCTTACAAGCCTAAGTAGCCAGAATCTTGTGTGTGTGTGTTGGAAGCGAACTGTATCGAGCAGGTAGCGTTCTTCATGAACAGAGAGAAAGCGCCAGTGTAAAAGAGAGTGAGACACTGTCCTTATGTTGCATCATGTGAAGGTTACCAAGTAGGCTTGTAGCATCCTTGTTTGAGGTTATGGTATGTAATAAATTGAATGTTTCCTTGCAGTCTTTGATATATAATGTTCATCATAGTAACTTTCAGTTTTTTTATGATCTGGCCATCTATACTGAACATTAAAGTATCTCTCTCATCCATTATGCAAGGAAATGTGAGATAAAATGTGATGGTTATACTATAGTAACTACATGACATGATTGACTAGATGAATGCTCACAAAAAAAAAATATTTTTTGTGTGTGTGTAGTAATTTTATATATATTTTTTGTAGTTATGCATATACAATTGTATTTCTTTTTAGTAAAACATTATTTATTAAATTAATTCACTAATTTAACAGTAAACAAATGTTAATCTGGTGAAAAAAACTAAATGCTGAATAAAACTAATAAAAAAATGTAGTGGCAATTATGTATAGAGACAAAGAGAGATCAGAGAAATTAATACTTTTAATCAGCAAAAATGCATTGAAGGGATCAAAAGTAAAAGCATTTATAATATTACAAAAGATTTATATTTTAAATAAATGCTGTTCTTTTGAATTTCCAGTTCATCAAAGAATCCTAAAAAAATGATCAGTTTATGTTTCTTGAGCAACAAATCAGCATATTAGAATGATGAAAGATGATGAAGGTCATGATGAAGACTGCAATGATTGCCATCAAATGAATTAATTACATTTAAAAAATACATTAAAATTGAATAGAAACGGTTAATATTTCACAATATTACTGTTTTTACTGTATTTTTGATCACAAAAATTTAGCCTTTAAAAAAAATAGTTTTGAATTTTCGAATGGTAGTATATGTTCTCCTAACTATCACTTTTAATGCATTAATGCTTTTAATCTATTTCCTGCCCCTAAACATCACTGTAAATCATATGAGTTATGATTGGTGGTTTAAATATGTCAGTCAGACGGCCCTTTCATATCTGAATAGATGACTCATAGCCAGATTATGCTCTGATGTGCACTAAATTTAATGTGATAGTGAAAATTGTGTAGTAATACCCGGTATTGTAAACAAACTTGGAGGTTTGGTGCACTAGTAAGTACCATCACACTTCATACACTCTATCTAACTGCTCTCTCTTTCTCTTTCAGGTGTCTGGCCTTCTGAAGAGGTGATGGCCTACTATTGCCTGAGAAGCAAGGGGCACTTTTTGATTTGTACTCAAGGCGGTACACAAGCCTTTGATTTCCTGTTTTTACATTCAAGAGGCAGAAGAGGAAAGAGAGGCTTATCGATCACACAGCAGCAAGCTGAAGGTCAACTGGGCATATAGAGACAGAGCAGGGTTTTGCACCCTTGGGCCAATGCTTCTATAGGATTCTCTGTGTGTGTGTGTGTGTGTGTGCGAACGGAGGATGTTAAGACCTGTGATCTGTTGTGATTTGGTCTGGTGCATATTCAGACCTCTAAATTAAACACTGAAGTTAATTTGCATGTGTATGTGTGTGTAGTATGTTTGAGAGTGTGTGTGTGTGTGTGTGTGTGGATGTGTGCTCTTGTTCCTGTATGTCATCAAGGACTGTCACCCTCTCGCTATCTTCCAGACCTGTTATCAGGCACTCACCAAAAAGAGAAAAAGAGGAGGATAAAGCAGAACAACAAAAAGTCAATTTACAGAGAGCGCCCATCTCTTCTCTTCATCCCTCTGTTTTTTTGCCTTTCTTTCCACTAGCCCAATGTACAGCCAAATAGCTACCTGTCACTGGGGCTTTGTCCCCGCCGTGGCTCATACTAGCAGTTTTGTGCGCATTAATTTTTAATTGCACTCCCTCATACAACAATCGCTCTCTCTTCATCCTCCACTCTGTCTCTCTGTCAATGGAAGGTGTCGGATCATGGGCTGAGAGCAGACAAACACGTGGAGACTGTTGTCACGGAGCACAGAAATGACTGGCAAAATGATGAAGTCAAGCTGCCTGCGTGTGTGTGTGTGAGAAGACAGTTCTGGTGTGTGTGGTTCTGGGCTGCTTTTTATCTACAAGGACTCTCTACTGTATATTTTGTGTATGACAAACACAAATGAACTCTATGCAAATTATAGTCTTTGTGTAAATTCTCCATTCCTGTGAGAATTATATGAATTACCTTTCATGTGAATTATTTTGTTCGGGTGCGTATGTCTCTGGATATGCAATAGGTATGTGTCTGAGTGTACTGTTGTGGTGTGACTCAAAAATGGCAGGTTTGTTCTGAGAAAAAAAAAACCAAAATGCTAAATGCTATTAATAAAATAAATTCCCAATTGGGCTTATTTACTTTTTTAAGGGTGGGGAAAATACGTTCAATATCTATCTATAGTTATTGACATATGGTTTAAAGGCTATTTGTCCAGTCAAACTCTTCTGCAGAAGCTAGGCTAATTAGCCAGATGCTAACATGTTTGCAAACATGTTCACTTGCAATGAGGATAAGTGTTTTGTGTCAACCTCAACGTGTTTTGTGTGGTGAGATTTGACTACCGAGAGCATAAAATTATCAAAATTCATGAAGCATTTTAGAAAGCAATAAGAAATCAATTAATCAGTGAATGATGTTTAATTTTTAACCCTTTTTTATTTACTTTTGCATATATTACTAATGTGTTGGTTTGTCACTTGATGTAAACAGAGCTCAGTGAATCAGAAATATAGCACTTAAAAGAAAAATAAGTAAAAATTTACCATAGTAAAACTATGGTATTCTTACAAGTACTTTGGAGTACCATATAAATGTCAAATGTGTTTTTGAATATATAAATATTCAGTATAGGGCTTTACACAATATCAGATTTTCCCTACAATTAAATTAATCACTCGAAATGCGAGTTTTGGGAGGCGGGGGGAGAATTTGTAACAATAACTGTACAAAATTTTACAAAAAGGTCAGAACTTCCTAAAGACTAGGGGTCTAAAATCCTGTCTTTTTTACGACATCCAAAAAACTCCCAACCTTGGAAGCTAACTTTTTTCGGGTGTTTCTGTTTTATGACGGATTGCAACTAGCATTAGGTTCCAATACCGCCACTTACTATTTAGAATGTTAACCAGATAGTTATTGCCGCTGGATTATTTATAATTATTTCCAACAGTATTAACATGATATTATTTTTCACTTTTTACATATTAAGGTTATCATCAATACCAGTATATTTTGTCTCGCCTAATTTAGAATGATGTATTTGACAATACTGCAGTATTGCCATCTGTAATGAATCAATGTACTGTACTTACAGTCCAGTACAGAATCAAAGCAGAACATTGATCCTGTATGTTTGATTAACTTCCTGTTCCTGTTGTAGCCCAAATCCACATTTCCAGCAGAAAAAAGGACAATTGCGCTTTCTTTTGTAAACGCATATACACCCGCTCGCATGCAGAGAGAAGGAGAGAGAGGAAGGTTGAGATCAATGAGCCCAGTGGAATAGCATTCCAATCAATGGCATCCCTCTACACGGGCAAGTTAATTAGCGTTATTGCCAAGACACAACAGCATCTCGCTCTCTTTCTCTATCGCTCCCATTCTCCTGTTTTCATCTCATTTGAGCTGAAAAACTTCACTCTCGTACTCATGTACGTCAATGTTAACGCTAAACGGCGCATCAAACCCCTCCGTGTCTCTCTGTCTCACAGGGGCTCCGCGGTGTGTGAGCTGGGTGGAGGGATGACGTGTCTGGCAGGTCTCATGGTAAGTCAAAAGTGAAAGCAAAAATTGCATATAGTGCTCACACAGACAGACAGTCACAGGCAAATGGGCAATTTGCATCAGCATGGGTAATCTAACATGGGCATATTGTAAGCAACATGAAATCAGCCAGCGCACATTGACATTTCTACCTCAGTGACCATAAACACACATGGCCCAATGGGCTATCTTCATCAAAAGCATTCAAACACATGGGCTTGCATATGCAAACACATTCTGTCTTGGTCACAGACACACATACACACACATCAGTGGCTTAGACTCTGGCTGTGTGTAGTGTATAGTAGTTTGTAGTAGCCTCTCCAGATGGACAGGCTTAACATGTTATCGATTTCGCCTTCACAAGACCAGCCTTCCCATATCTCTCCACTCAATACCCCCGTGTTGTGACATTACGGACCGCCAGTGGATCGCCCTCCTCATCCCCCCACTCGACCTTTTTTTTTTAACTCGCATTCCTCTTCTCAGGTCTGACTTAGTGCTTCTTGATGCTTGTGTTTATTTAAGTCCTTTGCAAGGACAAATAGCTTCTCTCTTCTGTCCTGTGCCCTGGAGTGCTGTGGTTTTGGCAGTGCCATCCATGTTTTTCTTGGGTGACTGGTTGGTTTCCTGCAGGTCTTGATGCCCATATGGCTAGCTGGTGGTGTGGGACTCTTGCCCACAGGGCAAAAAACACTACATCACTCTGTAGAGATGATTCTGCTGTATTGTCTCATTTTGTCAGTGCATGTAACCTTTTTGTTTGACTTGAGCGTTTCAAATTATAGACATTAAAAATGTCTGCTAAAAAAACCTACTTAAGAAATCCTGTTGCAATTTGTGTCTTTGAAAGGACTTTTACCTGGGAAAATGTAAGATGCTGGTTTTCTTTGTGCGATGGCGTGGAATATTCACCGCATTATACCATCAAAACAAATTTATTGGGAACTTTTTTATATGCTCACCGAGGTTAAATTTATTGAATAGAAAACAATTCAGCAGTAATATTGTGAAATATTTTTCACAATTTAAAATAACAATTTTGTATTTAAATGTATTTTAAGGCATAATTTATTCCTGTAATACAAAGCTGAATTTTCAGCAGCCATTATTCCAGTCTTCAGTGTCACATGATCCTACAGAAATCATTCTAATATGCTGATTTGATGCTTAAGAAACTTGAATAATTAGAAAGTTCAAAAGAACATTTATTTGAAGTATACATCTTTTGTAACATTACAAATGTCTTTACTGTGACTTTTAATTTAATGCATCCTTGCTGAATAAAAGTATTAATATCTTTAAATAATAAAATCCTACTGACCCCAAACTTTTGAACAGTACTATAGCACATGCTAATATTCCTTAAGAATTAACCCATCACTAAACTGCAAAATATTCCCATTCTCGTAAGGACAGTAATATACTGAACAAAATTATAAACGCAAAACACTTTTGTTTTTGCCCCCATTTTTCATGAGCTGACCTAGGCTAGCCACAATAAAAGGCCACTCTAAAATGTGCAGTTTTACTGTATTGGGGGGTCCGGGGGGGTCCGAAAACCAGTCAGTATCTGGTGTGACCACCATTTGCCTCACGCAGTGCAACAACATCTCCTTTGCATAGAGTTGATCAGGTTGTTGATTGTAGCCTGTGGAATGTTGGTCCACTCCTAAAAACTAAAAATACTAATTATTAAAATACAGTTTCATGTCTGCTAAGAAATAACTACATAAGATTAATAAATACATAAATTCACTCTGCATTGGCAGGTGTGTCAAAAAGTTATTTTTGCTTCCCGTGTTTGAGAACTGTCAGAAATTTTTAATCGCATTATTCAAAAGCACAAATATAAAACCTTGCAAGCACTTTTACAAACGCACACACTCCCTGCTTCTGCCCACTGTGTCTCTCCAAACTACTGTTACACAGTGCCTCTGATAAAGACGACTACTTGAATGAAAAGACTGTATAGAAAGAGCTGACAGTGGAGCAGCACAAAGGCAGAAGCTTCGCAGTACAAAGTTATATGAAGGGCATCAGGCAGACCTTGCGAGCCGAGTAAGGAGTGACAGCAGAGCGCGATGGCCCCGTCTGATAAACACCACACTGCAAATGAAAGGCTCGGCACTCACCATCATCCCCTGTCACAATGCAATTACCCAACAGAGTGATAGCAAGATAGAGGACTCCCAGCCACCAGGAATGATAAAAGTATTGACTGATTTGATTGAATGATTAAAATAATGCAGACGTAAAATAAAAAAACGTCTGAGACAGACAGCGATGGATGAGAGGGAGCAGGGGAGAAAGAGAGAAGGGTGGTCGTTTTGGAGTAGGGCTTTAAAAATCAGCGCTCTTCAGATATGACTGCTTGCAAACAGTGTGCTGAGGATGTCTTGCTTTTGTTTTATTTATTTATTTGTTTGTTTATTTTTCATCTTTTTTTTTCTTTTTCTGCAGATTGCGGTTTGTGCTGATGTGAAGGAAGTGCTGCTATCTGATGGCAACGAGAAGGCAATTCAAAGTATCCTTGCATTACGGACTGGTGTGTAGCTCTGTTCCAAAACCTAGTAAGCTGCCCACTCCCTACATAGGCAGCTGCCTTCTAAGGCAGCGTCTGAACTGAAATGGAACCCCATAAATGACTGATCTGGAACTTACATAGGCAGGATCTGTAAATGAAGTGCACAGGAGACTCCATAATTGCAAGCGACATGAGAGGAAAGTGATATTTGATTAAAATATCATTTGTATTTTTTCCTCTTTCTGAAAGTCATGAAAACACTATTGTGGAGTTTTTTTTTTGTTGCTATTTGAGCAAATGGGAACGCAAAAAATACATTTGATGTAGTCTTCCGTTCACTGCTGTAGAATTTTACCCAACTTTTGAGAAACCTAGAAATGTGAAAAGGGTCCATCTACATTTCTCTTGTTTGTCCACAGTCTTCATTTATTTTATCATTGAGCTTGTCGCAGTGCATTCTGGGGTTGCCTTTTCCACAGAGGATGCTTATAATTTGCTCAAAATGAGGTAACTTAGAAGGCAGCATAATTACATTCCCTATACCTTCTGGAACAGCCTTCACGTGTTAAATTGACACCTAAACAAAACTCTCCCTACAGAGGCAGCTCACTTGGTTTTGGAACAGAACTTGTGTGTGTTTCCGAACCATTCCAAACATCACTTTGTTCAGTTGGAGTGCTGACAGCGATGTGTTGTGTGTGTATGTTCTCACTGTAGACTGTCTTCGAGAGCGTAGCACAGAAAAGAAAACCTGGCTGTCTATTTAACCCCTATTTACCTCAGATATTCCTCTCACTTTCACCTCACACGCACGCACACACACACACACACACACACACATTCAGTCAGCCATTCTTAATGTGCACTCTGTCAAAGAATACGCACACGCATGCACACACACACACACACACACACACACCCCTCGACATATCTGAATGTGAGGCAAATCATCCAGCTGACACCCGAAACCTGCATTTAACATGTTTAATACATATTCATGTCATTGAAGGCTACCGCTGTGTGTGTTGACTCACCTGCTCCTTGTCTCTCACCCTCTCCCCCCTCTTCCATTCCCCTATTGACTTTCTCTTTTGCCAGGAGCACGGATGAAGCTTAAACAGGTGACAGGGCACAGCTCAAACATTTTTTCTTCATTCCCTTTCTTCGCTTTTTCTTATTCCCGCTCTCCATCTCTCGTCTTCCGCAATCACTCAGATTAGCCTCGTCGTTTGGCTCACAAAGGCAGGAAAAACGGAGACGACAGACGTGACAGCAAAACGCCGCAAAATTACTGTGCCCACATTCGTTAGTACAACAGCCAGCGCTGCCACTACAATGAGCTTTTATTGAATATCAAGACTCAAAGAACAATGGCTGTGGCATGAATCAACACAACTCCTCATTGAGAAGAGATTTGTTTAAAAGAAAATGGAGGGAAAGGGAGCAGAGCACGACATACTCAAAACATTCGTAGTCTGTCTCTAAACTGCTTCCTGTAACAGAGTGTGAAAAGACTGTCAGAAGGCTGATAGAGCATTAATTGGCAGTGCTTTGTTTCAGAGATGTTTCTGCCATAATAGAACGCCAAGAGATGATCTGATGATCGGACGAGGCTTTCTTGGGAGAACCCTATACGATATGGTGTTTTCTTTCTTTGTTTTAGAAGAAAGAAAATGAAGGGATCAACAGAGTTGAAACATTAATATTTGCATGCTAGTCATAGGATTACTCCAAACTTTCAATGTAAACATATCTATGGTTATATATATACAGTATTTTTTTTAATTTTTTTATTCTGTGTTCCTTTCTTTTACTGTGTTTTAAAGGGTTAAAAAAATTGTTCTGGATAGCTCTATACAACCCTAAATTATAAAATCTGGTGTGTAAAGCAATTTCTGATTTCAGCATTTAGGTTTGACCTTTGTTTAAAAACTAAACTATATAGATATATATGTATTGTGTACAGGGTTTGAACAACATAATGTGAATATTAAGGTGTTTTACCACCAATGCCTTTAATATAGCTTGCAGCTTTCTTAGAATAGATTAACACAATGTTTGAACAGTCTCCAGTTGAACGTTGTCTATCAGAATATCTGTCAGTTGCTTTAGAGATGTTGGAGGAGGGAATCTGCTTCTTACACTTCTCTCCAAAAATTGCCCACAGTGGTTTGACAATGTTTAAGTGAGGTGATTGAGATCACCAGGGCAGATATTGAAGTGAATCTCCAGCTGTCCAGGTTTCATGATCTTAACAGCATGTTTTTCATATTTTAGCATTGGTGTCTGCAATTAAATTTATAATTTGCAGTTCTTTCATGGATGTTGGCTTTGTGAAGTTCTCTGTGGTCTGTTTTTGTGGAAACACGAACTTCAAGGTGAATATTGAGGTTTGCTGTCACTTTTGCTGCAGTAGTTCTGTGCTGTTTGGACACAATCCTTCTTAGTGTTGATGGTCCCTATCATTCACTTCCGGTTTCGCCCACTATTCTTTTTCGCTGATGAAGTCTTGCCATGCTATGTGTAAGCAGTCATAATGATAGACAGTTGTTCTTAAAACACCAAACAATTGGACTCTTAATGTTACAAAAGCTCCTGCTAAACGGGCCATGATTTGTCATTTTTGGAATATTTATATTTGTGTACATTTCAATTACTTTTGACTTCTACATCAAAGCCAGATTGGCTCTTCAACCTGCCTAACCAGCAAGATGTAAACTGCAGTAACTGCATCATTAGTATAGTACAAAGTTCATATTGTGGTTGGTTTGTTGGCATAGTTGGCCCCCACTGGAGAACACAACCTCGCTAGTGTTTGAGACCCCTGTTGTATATGTCTACATGCAGTACTCAGATTCATGGCATTGTGTGCGAGTACTTGTTATTGCTGGACAATTAGATGTTACTCCAAATATGATATGCAAATGTAGTATTCTTACTATCTAAACCGAATATGACTGAATTAGACATGTTACTACATGAACACACACACACATACACACTCTGAATACTTCATAAAAAAAAAAAAAGGCCAATGAGCCCAACTGGGAATGATTAGTGTATCAGAAAGTGCTGAGTGGTTTCATGACTCAGTTCTGATCTCGTCTAGTCTGCACTTGTATTAAAGCCGTGCATGTGTAATCAAGAGACCCATACTGTTAAATGTTACTTTTCACACTGATTATGTTCTTTAATAGCTACTGCTCTCTGGAGCTTTATTAATCAAAAGTCCTGAAACTTGGAGGCAATATGAATGAATGAATGAATGAATGACACAGGTGTTACACAGGAAGTCTATTTTTGATAAAAATTGTGTCTCGGGGCACTGTTAAAAGAGAATGAGTGAGACGCCAGTGCTAACCTCTCCCCCAGTGGTCTTTTCCTGATGGGATTACACTGTAAGCTTTCCACTCTCTCGCCTTAGCTGCGGATCTCACCAGTGTAACGTGCGCACCCAGCCCCCTCCCCTCTTTCATTGAGGGATTTGCCCTCCATCCCTGTGCTATAGATTGGATTTGCTACGGTTGTTTTCCATGGAGCGAGAGAGAAAGCAGGCCAGAAAAAGCAAGAAATTGTAATTGAATTAGTTTAAAACTGTCGAAGGGTCTATTCATAGATGCGCTGACATCAATCCCGCAGTATAACCACAATGGGTGGAGGCCCATCTGAGGAGATGGCTGCAGGTTAAAAGCCTCCCTATTGATTACCTACTATGGTAATGCTTTGCATGAGTTGGTTTTGAGCTCAGTGGTAATCTGAGGATGAGCTGTGGAGAGAGACGGCTGTTACGGAAGCGAACGGACTCTGTGGGTTGACGTCATATGAAAGGGCCTGACATGATTAAACAAGAAATCAGCTAAGTGTAATAGGCTCTTGATCAGAGGGATAAAGAAAAGGAACTTGCTGTTGTTCAACAGTGTCTCACCTACAACTTTCATACTTTTGTGTACTTTTCTGTATTCTGCAGCTTGATCACTTTGTTGTAGTATTCCATGTTCATGTTCACAAAAGAATATAAACACAATACCAGACAAACTTTTAAATAAATTTATGAATGTAATTTCTCATGTTGTGAAAGTATACTAAATTTACTAAATATTAAAATAACATTTATGTATGTGTGTGTGTGTGTGTATGCATGTCTGTCTGTCTATGTCTATATGTTTATATGTTTATTTATTTTGATAACCATTGACAAATTATTATTATTATTATTATTATTAAAGATTCTCACAGGGGATGCCATTTTTTTTTTCGCCAAAATTTTAAATTATTAGTTTATTAGTTTATTTAAGTTGTTTTTCTTCACTTGAAAATAATAATATAAAATATTATAAATATTAATTATTTATTTATTTTTGATTAGTTAGATCAAATAGTGAAAGAAAAGCAGCTGCCAAGTGTCTGTTTATAAACCATCTCAGGATGCACCTCAAGTTGTTTGAGATGCTGTCCAGAGTGCATAGCAGTGTTGACCAGTCAGCATTTAGGACCCGAAATATCCTGTTTATAATTTGCGTTGTTTCATAGTTTTGATGCCTTCTCTATTATAACAAAATATGGAAAAAGAGTAGGTGTATTCAAACTTTTGACATGAAGGTGGATATATCTGTATGTTTAATTGTCATGTTTTTATTAATTATGAAACCGTGTTGCATTTCTTGACAAAGAGCATCAGATGTGCGCAGTGTAATCGAGAGGAACAGGCGAGAGGGGCTCTTCCTGTCTACCAATGTGTCCAGCAGGTAATCACTCATACACCTCCCAAACATCTCCATTAATAAAAGACAGAGCACTAATATTGCTTTTACATTACAGCCATATGAAGTCCATCTCTTATGTCAATACAAATTCAAGTGTTATAATTCACTGAAGCTTTGCATTGTCAAGCATGCCATGAAGTATAGAAAAGTGTGTTTGGGTAAAGTGGCATTTACAGCACTTGTGTTCGGGACATAATAGTGTCAATAAGTAGGCAAAAATGAGGTTGCAAGGCTCCGTGTCACTCCCTGAACCCAGTTGGCCCGGTAACGAGGTATCCGCAGCCAGTGGGGCGAGCGCTACGCTCTCTAACGCGCCGAGATGTATCCAGGCAGAGTGATGATGAGCCACTCTCCGTGATTGAATGCCCTCATCTAGAAAACTCAAACACACACTCTCTCTCTATAACACCCCTCTCTCACATTTGCCAAAACACAGCTCATCCACTGTGCACACCATCACGCAAATGCATTATCACCTAAAAAGTAATTTTGGCACTCAGTGATCTAACCACTCTCTCCCCCTCTCGTCTCCTCTCCTCTCTCTTGCTCTGCACACTTCCCCCTCCCTGTGTATTTACACTGGGCTGATGAAGTGAAAGAGTAAACGTATAATTAGCCTGCATTACTTTGATTGTTTTCTTTAGAGATTAGGCTTCCTGTCAGAGCGCGCGGTTTGAGTGGGGTGAAGGTCGCGTGTGATTGGTTGAGGGAGGGGGGGTGGATTCGCTTTCTCAAGTCAGTGAATAAGCAGCGCAGACCCCCACTGAGAGAGGAGATTGTATTTCCACAAGACGTAATTTTTGTTTACTGACTGTTAATAATGGCTAATTAATAATCAGATTTGCTTGCCTGGAAACTGGCCCTAGCACTTAAAGAAAAGAGAGAAGACGATCGCCGCCAGATAACGGCGCAAATAAAGCAAGTGTCAGGTGTGTGAAATATCTCTGGATGCAGCATTGTGAGGGATTGTGGGGGTGAATGATAAATTGTGCAACAGGGTTGATGACGCAGCTATCATCCTGTCCTCTTTCAGGGTGGTGAGATGGGACAATGAGGCCGATATGTCCGCTCTGGAGGATCGCTTTGACGTGGTGATGTGCGCTGACTGGTAGGTTGATCCTTTTGCTGAACTGTCAATTCTTTAGAGATCCACCGTCACCCAAAACATGACACTCGTACAATCCTAACACAATTGTTGCACGACACCTCCAAAACAGATCTTTCAGGCCAAACCGCTTGTTCTTTCTAACATTATACGATTCTGAGCAGGCGAAGAGATTCTGTACATCTGTCCAAAGCAGCCGTTCTTACAACTATTACAAAATAAATATCATATCTCACACTTTACTAGTATCTCCAGCCACAATATGTCTACACCCTCAATAAAAGTGTGCACCTTGTGTCCCGGTGATGTGGCATTAATATTCCTGCGCCCCTAACGCTTATCAGATGGCAGCCATCAGCTCGCGGATGGCACTGCATTATTTCCCCTCCGCTAGCTCCGCCAGGCATTTCCATTTTTCAGAAATTGCCTCTTTTTCATGCTTGGCATCCCAGCAAATGGATGTCTTAGGCAAATTGCAAATAATTATGCCTGTGCAAGGAGAGAAAGAGAGCGAGAGAGAGATTGTGGAGCAATACAAACATTTCAATTAGCCAGATCCTGAACATGTTGTTTTTTTCTCTCTTTTGTATGTCTGTGAAAATATGTTGTTGCGTGTGCATCATACTAGTCTTTTACAATCATTCGGATGTAAATTTTACTACTGGTCCATTCAGACTTCATTGTGTAATGCAAGAAAATTTAATGTTTCTAGAATGCTATGTTGGATAGTTTGGGAAATCCAGCTTAGGGAGTCATGTGATCAAAGATGAACCGTTCTTTTTATTTATATGGTCATTTAGTTGTTAAAGGTATAGTTCACACAAAATTAAAAATTCTGTCATAATTTACTCATTCAAGTCGCTCCAAACCTGTATGATTTTATTTCTTCTATATAATATATCTGTTTGTCCATACAAAATCAGTGTGGTCCGATTTTGTTTGTGAGCACACTGACTTTCATTATACAGTTAAAAAAAGCTGAAACAATCTTCAAAATATGTTATTTCTTTTATTCAGAAGAAAAAGCCATACAGGTTGTTTGGAATGACATGAGGGACAATAAATTCATTTTGGGGTGAACTGCCCCTTTAATATATTTTACATGTTAACCTTTGTTCCAGTAATGTAATGTTTGCCAATATTTTATGAATTTATATTAAATCTACACATTAAATACACCGAAAATGGCCAATGAATACAGGAGATTGTTAGTGAGACTTATTCATGTCTGATTCTTTTGTAATGGTCCCTGCTTTCATTACATGCATTATAATGACCCTAATTAGTACTTTAATTATATACATTTCCAAATCATACACATTTTTCCTCATCAACATTTTTCTTAACACTATTATAGTTTATTTCATTGTTATTACATTATTACATTGTTATAAGCCCAGCTTTAAACCGGATGTTCTTTGGCATTGTCTCTATCTAGCACAAAGTGGTGAGGCTGATGGAGGCGGGATATAATGATACCTGTGTGTTCTCTGGCGATGATCACTAAAGCCTGGTACAGCCTACTATTATTCTAATGTCAGACAAATGGCAGCTAATACGCAGGTAAAATGTGCAGCAGAGGGCCAGCATGAGATTGATTTGTGTGTAGTAAGGAGATACTATGTGTCTGTCTGTGTGTGTGTGTGTGTGAGAGAGAGAGAGAGAGAGAGTGGAAGAAAGTATGTGAGGATGAATCATGCCGCGTTTGCTGTCCCCCCGTTGCTTGCACTGGCAACTCATCTGTAATTGTCTTCAGGAGAGTGATCGCTTGGCGATTAACGAACATAGCCATGCTGACGATCACCTGCGAAAAGGTCAACAGCCACACTTCTGCTCCAATTAATTATAGTCTTTCAGACAATCGCCAAGAAAGGCAGGACATAATGCGGCGGCGCTCACGCTAGGAGAAGAGAGAGAGATAGAGACGTAGTCTCAGCTATGATAGCAAAAGGTTCTTCCAAAAGACAGCCCTCTGTTTCACCTTGTCTTTGTCCTCACGAGACAATGCTATTCTTGTCTGAAAATGATGTTTTGTAGCTACGCTAAGAGTAGACAAAAGCATGAAATTAGCACTCAAGGCCCACAGCTCTTTACTTGACTTGTGCAGTTTTGTTTAAAGTGATATTTCCTCACCGCAGAGCAGGTGAAAGACTGATATGCTGTTTTAATCAGAAGTTTTCAGAAGTGTCTCTTTCTAGTCTTTTAGTTTATAGTTCTGTCTTGTTCCTGTTTGCTGTTCGTCCCTTCATTATTCCCTGATTGTCTGCATCTGTGTCCTTGGCTGTGTCCGAAAATCGCATACTGTCTGAGTAGGTGCTACATTTATTGAGGAACTTAGCAACTGTTAAAATCATATTATGTATAGTAGGTGTCTAGTATGAATGAAAACCTAAACACTATTCACCATGTTGTCATTGTCATGTGACCTTTACTGCCATTGACTTATTTAATGGGATAGTCACGTGTCTATCAGGTGTGCACTTTAGAACCCCACGTGAAGCAGTAGGTCACCTTTTCAGCTACTGTTTCATAAATACTATGAATTCAGCCATACTACCCATTTCACATACTGTTTTCTGCCTACTATATAGTAGAGACGTGTGCATATTCGGACACAGTGTTCATTTTCAAGTCTTATCCCTCTATGGTGATAATCTAAGGTGAGCTCTGTTGTGTTTTCTTGTTTCCCTGTTTCAGAGTTTCTTGTACTTTTGTTATTATTTTGCATTTGGATCCTGCTTGCCCTCGTTTCTGAGTTCTCAGCATGACAGCACAAGAAATGTGTAAATGAAACCTCAGCGTAACTGCAACAGCAGAGTTCAAAGAAAAGTAAAGTGTTTTCTTGTTTACTACATTGAGTATTTCTTTTAAAAATGGCCGTAAATTAAAAAATGGTTGAGAAGAGTGTGCCATTGAGGGTTACAGTAATGCCTGTAGAATAATCATGCACTGAAATAATATTGCCTGTCTAGAAAGAAATGCAGTTGCTTTTTTACGCTATGCTGTAAGCAAATGCACGATTAGAAAGTAAGAAGTTTAGAAAGTCTTTAATCCAACACACAGGGTAACATTGATGAGACCGGACAAAGGAAACTCAAACAGAACTGAACTAATATACACGTGATAGCCAGACACACCTGAACATAATCGAGTCCAAACTAACAGAAACCGTGACACTTAGGTAGTGCTGCAGTTTGGGGAAAAAATGTAAATGCCTTTTTTTCTTTTGATAATAATTACGATTAGTATTATTTTTTTCCCGCCCCAAGGAAAAAATATGGCTATAAAATACTACTACTACTACTACTACTACTAATAATAATAATAATAGCTATTATTAAATAAGAAATAACTTTTTTGTAATTTATGCATTCTTAAATGTGAGACCATCAAGCTTTTTTGTCATAAAACCGCAGAGAGATTTTAAAGCATCTCCTTTTGTCAGCAGCTGGTTTATAAGCGCTTCTCATTACAAGTTTGCGAAGATGGTTAGTGTATCTTGCTTTCCAAAATTCAACTTATAAGCAACCCAAAACCACAGCATATCCAGAAATGAGTTTAATGCTGCTCTGATATACTGAAAACTCTGGATCGTGAGCTGCTCACGTGTAAAAATTGCGAAACCCTATACTCTGAGATTGGCCTGACAACCAGCTTCACTTTTCACATGAATGCTAATGTATGTCCAAATAGATATATCTTGAGACTTTTATTCAGTGTTTTCATTTGCATTCATATTGATTGTACATGAACTACTGACATTTTAAGTTTCATATACATTATATAATGTGTGTTAATGACTTTATAATGGAGGTTTAAAGTGTAACCCATTTCTGTTCAGCTTCATTTCTATAGTGACTACATGTAAACATGCCCGCAGGGAGTCTATTTTAAAGTGCTATGGAATGGCACTCTGGAAAAACACGGTGTATCCCATCACTTAGATCTTTAGCTGGAATCGCATGAAACAGCAATGTTTTGTGACCCCTCACAGCAACTGAACCAAAAGTGAGAGTGCATGTCTCTTAGTGATCCCTGGTTTATGCTACTGCTTTGCATACACACACACACACACAGAACGTTGAAGCACTTCTCTACACAAACACACAGTGTAATGTACAGTCATGGCCAAAAGTTCTGGCTGTGACATAAATTTTGTGTTTTGCAAAGTTTGCTGCTTCAGTATTTGTAGATATTTTTCCACATGTTTCTATGGTATACTGAAAAACAATGATAAGCATATCATAAGTTTTAAAAGCTTTTATTGGCAAAAAAATATGAGTCAATATTTACAGTGTTGACCCTTGTTCTTCATAACCTCTGCAATTCGCTCTGGCATGCTGGATATTTGCTTCTGGGCCAAATCTTGACTGATGGTGATCCATTCTTGCCTGATTAGTTCTCGAAGTTGATCACAATTTGTGGGCTTCTGCTTGTCCACTCGCCTTTTGAGGACTGACCACAGGTTCTCTATGGGATTGAGATCCGGGGAGTTGCCTGGCCACAGATCCAAAATTTCAATGTAATGATCTTCGAGCCACTTCTTTATCATTCTTGCTTTGTGACATGGTGCTCCATCATGCTGGAAAATGCATGGATCATCACCAAACTCCTCATGGATCGTTGGAAGAAGTCGCTCTTGCAGGACGTTTTGATACCATTCTTTATTCATGGCAGTGTTTTTGGGCAGAATTATGAGAGCCCACTCCCTTGGTTGAAAAGCAACCCCACACATGGATGGTCTCACGATGCCTCACTGTTGGCACATCTTGGACTTATGGTAGCGTTCACCTTTTCTTCTCCAA